GGAGAGTGAAGGGGCCAGGGTTTTTGTTTTTTTTTTTTTTTTTTTTTGCAGCTATTGTGAACAGGAGTGTTTCAGAGAGGCCCCAGAGAGGCCTGCCTGTAGGAGAGAGGCCTGAGGCAGGTCTTTCAGACCCAGGGAAGCAGAGGCCTTAGTATATATTTTTAGTGTATCAAAAATCTAGTTAAAAAAGAATTTCTTAAATATGTATGTTTTATGACTGTATATATATATATATATATTATGTTGTGTATATGCACATATGTATGAATATAAAACACAAATATAGCATTACTGGAAAATTATTTATCTGTACTACAGTGTCCTCAACTGTGAAGTAAATTTAATATATTTGAACCATGTCCATTAAGAATTGTGTTGTGTGGAAAATAATTGCTATTCCTTTTAAAAGTTATGATTTTCTTGAGTGTTATATAATATAAGATCTATTAAGCCTAAATTTTAGAAAACTAGTTATTAGCTCATGTTGTGGATAGCTAGCATAAACATATGCTCTTTTAGCAAAGAAATTCATTCTTGAAATAATGTGGTATACAATACCTATTTTGTACTATGAAAATTGCTCTAACAGGAATTTTGGGCCATCTATGGTATTTTACATTTTCAATTTTTGTCTTTCAATAAATGTTTGAATGCTAAACCTTTTCAATATCATAAAGTTAAATATCCTCTATTTCAAAATTCTTCGTGAAGATAGGAAATAATTCCATGTTCCTTCATGGTGCAAATTTTCTCACTTTGTTTCAATACGGAATAAATTTTTGTTATCTTTAACCCTTAGATTATATTATATACCATTATCCATCTTCTTATTTAATTCTTCTGTAGAATTTGATGTTCTAGTAGGAAGCTCTGTAATAGATTAAGGCTCTTTTGCTTGTTTACTCTTGATGTCTCCACTTTGTGGCACATGGATAGCTGGAATTTGTGTCATACCAAAGAGCAAGAGTAATTTGTCAAAGCAAACAAAGCCTTCCAAATGTCAACTTAATAAATCAATTAATTAATTGATGATAGTCCCCTCTTCTACACACAGCTATCACTGTCATTATTTTTATTAAATGAAACACCAATTAAGAATTTTCCTAGGGTTAGAGTTGTTCTTAATAAACTTGGCCTAAGCAAGATTGAGGTTTTGGAAAGACTATTTGCTGTATGATGATTCAGTGTCTTGGTGGAAAAGTGGATTTGTCTTGTCACTAAATCATGTCACAGCCCTAGGGAAATGGACAGAGATATTGGTGGTTTCAGGGCTTGATCCTGTTAAATCGGTTGTGCTCACGGTTCCTGGAAAATGCATGTAGTTAGAAATAAACAGGCAAAGGAGCTTCAGATATCTTAAAACTGGAAGAAAAATTATAACCAGAAATGAAGCTCAATACCACAAGAAACTACACTTCAGAAGAGGCTCTTTAATTACACAATGTACAGTATAACAATTCACCTCCAATTCCAGCACTCAGGAGGCTAAGACAGGACAATTGCTGTAAGTGCTCAGTTCAGGGCCAATCTGGGCTATATAGCAAGACTCTACCTTATGAAAAAAAGCTAAACATAAGAGTAAAGCAAGAGACTGGAGGGATGGCTTAGTTCTTCAGAATGGGTATTGCTCCTGGAGAGGATGCAAGTTCAGTTCCTAGCATCCACATTGGGTGTCTGACAACTGCCTATAACTACAGCCCCAAGGAATCTGACACCCTCTCCTGGCCTCTCTAGGCACCTGCACTCATGTGCTCACACAGACACACATGCACACAGTAATTAAAAATGAAAATATATCTTAAAAATTAACACCCTGTGCATGATGTAATGAACTGTGTGTGTATGAGTATGTATGATGAAAATTATTTCAAAAATGTCTCCAGATATTTTACCATATGTAAAATGAAGAATAAATGAAAGTATATAAGTCTAATTCCTCTCCAAATTTCAGGCATGAAAAGAAATTGTTATTTCCTAAAATATCATGAGTTTGGCTTTTTAACAGCAATTTATGTCACATTTTATTCTACTATGAAAATTTTTACATTATTTTTCTATAAAATGGATAGAGCTCAAGCAGGGAAATTTGTCTCTATCTCTTTATTAATGCATATTGGCTAATAGATGAAAAGCCAGCTTTAATGTGTGGTTTTCCTCAGTAACCCAAGCTCAGCAAACTTTTTTGGTTAAGTTAAACGGGATTTTCTTGGGTTCAACATTCTAACTGAACTATAGCATAAGAGAAGAGAGGACATCCAAGTCTTAGAGAGAAAACAATGTTGAGAAAATGATATCATTAAGTGTTTAGCTTATGGGATTTTCCTGTTTATCTTACTAAATTCAGACTTCTCAGAACTGCATTTAGCAACTTAGACTTCCACTTATAATTTCTATGTTTAATAACGTGGATGCAGAGTTTGGAGTCTTTTAATCTTATAACGTTAAGCATATACCTCATTGCTGTGCTTGACTGCCTGCTCTCTCCCCTACTCGGCTCTGCCATTTTGAGGACTATAATTGAGATGTAGGTCCTGTATGGCTTCCAAGAGTCAAACAGAATTCATAGCAGAAACCTTCAAAACAGCCAATTAGTATTTAGTATACAAGTGCTTATGGGCTGGAAGATGTGAAAAGATGTTTGCATGCTGTCAAACAGATTCACTTAAAAATGCTACATCTCTTTCTAGATATTATCAAATGGGATACAATATCCCTAAATATTTTGGAAGTGTGTGAGGTTTTTTTTAATGTATGTGTTTTTAAATTTAGGGAGGAAAAATTCCAATCAGGTGGACTGCCCCAGAAGCAATAGCTTTCCGAAAGTTCACCTCTGCCAGTGATGTCTGGAGTTATGGAATTGTAATGTGGGAAGTTGTGTCTTATGGAGAGAGGCCCTACTGGGAGATGACCAATCAGGATGTGAGTATGAACTGTGCTTTCTCAAGTTAAAAATGAAATTCTTTGTCCTCTAATTCCAGACCTTTAGATTGTTTCTCATGTGTGAAAATGGAAGTTACTTTAAAAATTATGCAATACTTTGCTTGTCCTATGATGCCTTTGTTCCTGTCGTTGAAATAACCTTTATGCAAGAGCTAAAAGTAAATTAAGGCATGGCTGGAGAGATGGCTCAATGGTAAAGTGCAATGGCTTCTTTTGCAAAAGACCCAGGTTCAGTTCCCAGTACCTACATGGCAACCAACAACTAATTGTAACTGGAGTTTCAAGGGATCCAACACCCTTTTCTGGCCTCATCAGTCATTGAAGGCATGTGGTGCACTTACATTCATGCAGGCAAAACACACATACACATAAAAATAAAATAAATGAATGAATAAATAAATAAATAGTAAAAGTGAGTTAGAGTAAAGGAACATAAGTTACAATTAAGAAAAACCCTCAGTCCCTGCCAGGTATTTTACTTGTACCATAGTCATGTCTCACTCAGTTTATGTCAGTGTCATTCTCAAAGTCAAAGAGTGAATACTGATGAGAAAATATTAGTAATTTGCATTTAATAGAAGCAGATAATACTTCAAACCAAAAGTTTGAGTGATATTTAATAATGGATTTTATTTGAAGATAAAAAAATTATATGTTCCTTTAAATTATAAAATATAAGATTAGTTATATTTAATTCAGGGAAAATGTGTGTTCTTCCAACAAAGAAAATATAATCCATGCTTAGAAATATATGATCATGACATGAAAGGAACCAAGAAAGAATCTTCTATTCAAATTTAAATGTTTATGTTTTGATGCCTGACATGTGACACTGGTTTTGCTTTGATCCTTTTCTATCATTAATATTCAATGCATCTGTTTTCATTTTGAATCATATTGAAATGTGATATTTTACCTTCAGATAACAATTATAAAATCAACTAGCATTCATTGATCCCTTTGACTGTGTCATGCATTCTTTATCAATTAATAATTCATTAATTATTTTTAAATCTAGTGTATTGAACCATCTTAACCCAATAGTGTACTTATTTAAAACATTAGATTCCCTCCCCAATTATTCCTTTTATTCAATCTTTATAACTTCTTTACCCATGTTTGAACGTGGGGTTTGGAAGAGAGATTAGTATCTGCCTGTACTTCACTTTGGTTGAGACATCAATCCAATGCAAGCTATTAACATTCAGTATCAATGTTCAGCCAAAACTAAAGTCAATCTGATATGCATTTCAAGGTGTATGTCCCAATTATAGGTCAGTCTGATTCAAGTTGTACATAACAGGAATTAATATTTAGGTATGATCATATTTTGGCTGTTTTTCCTCTATTGAAATCTGTATCTGGATGTTTCAGGATTTGTCTAAGTTGAAAGGTAGAAAAGGAGCGACAAACATATTTTTTAATGAAGGGCTGTTGGCTCCTGTTATGAAAAGACTCCCAGACTTCAGTTCACATTAATCCCTACCATGTGAGGTATGTGACTGTACTCTACATAAGCACTTATCAGAGTTCTTCCTCAAGGCCGGTGAGGACCGTTAAGTCCAGCTGACTTCTAGAGCACCCTTTCTGTGCTGCCTGTTTCCAATCTCTCAAACTTACTTTCCCATGCATATGTCCCTTTTATGAAGGCAAACACATTTTGTCAGATGCACTTTATCACTCTCTTTTAGGGATTGCAATTGCAGGCTGTGCGAGGCAGTCTACTTTCTTCAAATTTCCTTAGGTATGACACCAGAGAAATATCCAGCTTTCCCAAAAATTATGTCGTAGACTGCTTCTTTGATAGAAATGACTAATTGTATTTAAGTATTCCTGTCTCTCATCTTGTAGTCATCTAAAATTGGTGTAGTTGGTTTGCTTTGTGCCCCATTCACTTGGCAGAGGGAGTATTGACTACACTTCTCTACAACTGGGAGAACAAAGCATCGCTTGTCTTCAGACAGGATTTTAGGGATTTAACCAAGGCAAAAATATATTCAATTCCTGATGTGTGTGTTTATGTAACTACATATTTATGTCCTTTTTTTATTTTCTTATTTTGGTTTTGAGACAGAGTCTCACTATGTAGCCCTGGCTGGCCTAGAACTTTGCAGACCACAGTTGTCTTAAACTCGCAGAGATTTGTCTGCTTCCCTTCCAAGTGCTGGGATTAAAGGCATGAGCCACAACTCCTGGCTTTGGTCCTTTTTTACAGTGGATTACCTGAGGCTTAGAGAAGTTCAGCAACTTTATTAAGATTCCAAAAATAATAAAATTTATACTAAACTTTTAAACACTTTTACTTTTTTGAAAGGCCTCACCCTATCTCCATTTGAATCGTTATGTACTTCCTCTCTTTACATCCCAAGTATTAGCCTTCTAACATGAGATACAAAATATCCAATTCAGATATAATAACTATTCTGAACTGAATAAGGCTAAATGCTAGAATTAGATCATTTCCCCACTTTTTCTTCTTCAAATAAGTGCTAAATTATCACATGATATAGTAAGGCTCATTTCCAAACCCCTTTCTCTTTCAGGTTTATGGCACTGTGTTATCCTTCTCTGTCACAGGCCTTCCAATGCCAATCCCTACCATCAATCTATATCATTCAAGGGAAACATACATTCATTCTTTGCCGTCCTCTAGCATTAACTTCTACTCATTCTTGAAAAATTTTGAGTTCTGATCCTATCTCTCATTTTTTTTTTAGTCTTTCCCAACTGTGTAGGCATCAACATATAAGATACTGGCAATCTTACCAGCTATAGCTAGAATTATCACAAGTGAAATAAAACAACAAACTAGAGCATGGTGGTAGAAGAATGTTCTTGTGTGTGTCTACAGATAAACTTGCCCATGGTCCAGGGACAAGCTGTCTTTACTGATATGGTTTCACTCTTCTCCACAAATCTCTAATTTTCCATGGGGGCACAGCAGGCTAGCCTAAACCTGACTTCATATGCCAAGTGCCCCCTTACAGTTCCTCTGTCAACATGAGTGCTAAAATCCCAGTGACCGACCCCACAATAAGAGAGTAGACACAACACTCGTCTTTGAGATTGAGCACTATAGTTGTATGGAGAACTTGAAGGTTCCAGGGCATATCTGCTAATCCTTCACATCTCCATGCTTTGATCATAGATTTCCTGCCACAATCTGTATCTTATAGAATCTTATAAT